AGATTTCATAACCCTAAGACTACTATCCATAATAAGCATACAGGACAGAAGGCATTGAAATTATCCAAACACATTTTGCAGAATGGGAGCTGCAAGAGGACTAGCCACCAAATGCCTAAACTGTGGGAGATGCTGTCACAACAGAAGGACATGAAGTCAGAGATACTAGTTTTAGTAGCTAAACATGACCAGAAAAGCAATGCAAGGAGGTGGGACCATGACACACCTCTTTCCGCAGGAAGAGTTTCCAAGTAGGGTTAGCATAGGAGAAGCTGACACTAGCAGAAAGATTGAAGAGCTGGGTTTTGACAGTAGTGTCTTCCAACAGTGTCTTAGCCGAATCTAAGTGTGAAAGAAACAGAAAAAGAAGGGAATGTAGCATTCTACTTTGTGTAGGTTGGTTTTTTTAAAGTTATCCTCAAAGCAACTGAGAATATTTTGCAATATCTCTGAGATCTTCTTGCTCTACAAGTGCATTCTCAAATTCAAAACAACATAGCATCTTCTCTTAAAAAGGGACTTCAGTAAAGATTCTGGCTACAAACTACCTTTCTCATAGTATCTACAAGCGGATTTTAAAACTGTATAAAACAAAACTGATCATGGACCAATAAACTGTTGTCTGCTATAATAAATGCATACAGTACCCTTCAATGAAAGACATTCAATGTAATAATTCAATTTACAGTAATAAAGAAAAAAAAGAATAAACTGGGGGGGGGGGGCGGAATCACACCAATAACTGTGAGCAATGTCCTAGCCAGGAGGCTGTGGCAGCCTTTCCCAATTATGATCCATAGAGTTTTGTCACATCCTCGGTCAGGGAGACAATGATTGGTGAGAATGGCATCAGCATTGATCTGGAGATCTCTAGTTGAGAACGGCTGCATAAAAGTTGAATGGTTAGTGAATGTAGATGAGCCATGCAGGGAAAGGCCATGTGTATTAAAAGGTTATATTAAAAAGGAGGATTATGATTTAATGGTTTCTGTTCGCTGTTACCATTTAAATATTGTTTGATGCTTTCAGGACATTTATAATCTAGGTCAGCACTCAAATAGCAATATTAATAGCACTTAGACTTATATACTGCCCCAAATGGCATTCTCTGAACTGTTTACAATGTCAGCATGTTGCCCCCAACAATCTGGGTCCTCATTTTACCAACCCTGGAAGGGTGGAAGGATGAGTCAACCTTGAGCCCTGTCAGGATTGAACTCCTGGCTGTGGGCAGAAGTTTGCCTGCAATTCTGCATTCTAACCACTGTGCCATCACCGCTTTCGAATGCTTTCAAAATAGCATATTCATACTGTGGATCTCGTCAGTCAAAGAATTTCAGCTGGCAGGATCCAAGAGAAGAGATTTCTCTGCCATGGCTCCTGCCCTTTGAAATATGTTACCCCCGAAATGAGATTGGCTCTCAACCTCCTGACTTTTTGTAAGGGTTTTAAGACCTGGCTCTGCCAGATGGCTTGGGAACCCAATGAGGGAACTTCATACTGGAGGCGGTTGACTAATTAAAAGCTAATCCCACCTCCCCACCCCACCCCGTGTATCCAGGTCCCTCCTTCACCGTTTTGTATTCATGATTTTAATTTATCTATTTTTTTTCATTGCATATCTGATGATTTTAATGTTTTTATCCTGTAAGCTGCCCTGAGTCATGAGATCATGAGATGGGTGGCAAATAAATTTCTTAATAAATAAATACTCAATAATCAACCGTTTTTTTGCTTCTGGTACAATATTATATAAACTCAAAAGGTGAACTAAAATATTTTGTGGAAATAATAAATTCAAAATAAGAAGGAACGTTGCTACTGCATCACCTTTACAGTTTATCTCCTGCTGCGCTATAAAATTATGTTATTTATGAAACGCAATGAAGACCAGGTTATATTGTGCAGCTTTTGCTACATTAGCCAAAAACCTTGATTAGTTTTGTAAAATAAATGTATCCAGAGTTACGCCCGAAATGCTTACCACTTTTTCCCCCAGGAAAAACACTCCAGCTGTAACGATGGCTGCTTCCTAACTTAATCAACAGCAGATCTGCCAACATCTACAGTATCAGAGAGGGTTTGCTTACCTTTTGTTTCATCTGTGACAAAATCTGGAGGGAAAGAAGGGGGTGGGCCAGGAGGGGGAGGAGGAAGCACTGAGCTGTCAGGACCAAAAACACTTGTGAGCACCAGTTGTTTTTCTTTGATGGTATTGGAGGGTTTGGCCGGTGGTGAAGGTGGTGATGGCTTACATTTTTCAGAGGAGACCTGGGATGGGGGAGCAGAAAGGAAGAACAAAGGCTCAATTCAGCCATGGTTGTATGTTACTCACATATGATTAGCTTCTCATTCACATCACACAGCTAGCAAGTTAGTCTTTGACAACATGTAATATAAAAAGCAAACAATAATGTAAGCTGGAAGGTTTCTGACAGAACTCTTCTAAGTTACTGAAGACAATTGGCATTTAGTTGGTTCATTTCATTTGATAAGAGTTCTATAGATTAGGATGATTTAAATGGAGGGATGATTTAAATGGAGCAAACATTATAAATGCTATAACAGTTTATTGGTAGTGTGAATAGCTTTTAACAGCATCTAAACAGAGTTAGCGGTGCCTTGTCTCTAAGTCAAATCATGGTGTCTTTTGGTTCAAGCTATGAAAATTATT